ATTAGTTTTCCTTTTGCACCGACATCCCCTTTGAGACGCGACCCCAGTCTGGGTCAGGAGGCTCRGTTTTACTCCTTTTGATCCTCTTTATTTTATACCGAGGCATCTCAAATCTCATGGAAGCCCGACTTTATTTATGTGAGATTATTGTTCGTAAACCCACACACAGGGAAGCAGTCCTCACTAGGACTGAATGGTGCTTTATGTTTCTTAATGCAGAAAATAAGGATTAGGCATTAAACCAAATATAGTTCTCATGAACGCTGGAGGAATAAATTCCCTTCAGCATGTTTCCATTATAGGAAACTACATGCTAAATTTAGACATGAGAAAATCACATCCTTGGGTTAATTATCTTTTTCGACACACTTGGTTGTATGAGGTCAGTCAAATTACACTTTTGGTGTGTACATGTTTTTCTGATGGAGGAGATTTTTGACTATTTTTCCAGTACATACAGCCTTGTGAGGACCCACAGTTCCTTACAGGGACAAAAACTTAATTTGAAAATGCAGTCCTCAGGTTGGCTCATTGTGGATCCYCTTTAATGCGGCAACTTATTTCTAACTGAACTTTTTATGTTTTATGAATCTATCTGGATAAACATCTTCAACTCAGCCTTCAGTTCTGAGTCCATCCTACTTTTTCTGGGACTCACTTAAGTTTTTCTTGTGAGTTATCCTCTTCAGATCTTTTGAATTTTCTCTTCCATTCTGAATTTCTTCATCAGTTTTCTTCTGAACAGTCTTCAGCTGCTAACCCCCATTGCGGATACAATGCCATAAAATGTCATTCAACTAGATGTTAGCTTGACTCCCCACTTCTAYGATCCAAACAGATAAATCTCTGAGCAACTTCTACTGCAGGTAAGATATTGATTACGGATAACTCCACAAATCACCACTTTTAAATAGACCTAAGGTATTCTTTTAAGATTGTAGAGCATTTCTCTGACATTCATGTTCAAGTTGTCCACCACTAGACATTACACAGCATTCATACGTAAACACAGCTCTCTTGTCTGCTTGTTGTTGACTTGTACATATTCAGGGTTGGCCTGGACAGACAGAAACTAAACTGGTTGTTATGTTGCATTGTCACAGAAACCAGCAGGTGGTAGTATTTCACCACGGCGTCCACACTGCAGTTTCTTTTTATGTGGCCTACTTCCTGCTCCCTTATTTGGTCACAGGAGCAGAAACAATTACAATGAGTCAYAAAGATATAAGATCCCAGCAGAGCCTACAAGGTTTAATTCAGACATGTGATCAAAGTTTTAAAACGAGTGTTCACCCACGGCCTTCAGTAGTTTTTAAGCAGCAAAGAAAACTTAATTTTAAGATTAACTTGCCAAAAACTTGCTGAAGTTTCTTTAGTACACGTGAATCAGCTTAAAACAGTACTGATGTTATGAACAAATACAAATTCTYGAGTAAATTAAACAGTGAATTCCAACGAAATCAGCTGTGGCTGAGAGTTGCAGAAGACTGTGACCACTGACTCAGTGACACACCCTGGAGCACAGTTTTTTTTTTTTTGATGAGTCACAAAACCCAAAATCTTAACTGCACACTTCTGGGTCATGTGACTCAGACAGCGTTATTAGTATCAGTCAAAAGAAAAAAAAACGAAAACATWAAAACCAAGTGGAAGATAATGGATGGATGTTGGGACCTGAAACCCATSTAATCATAAATGTTTTTTTTTAAATAAGGATGAAGGATAAGGATGTTGTGACTTCAGCTACACGCCGGTGCTTGTCGAAGTCGCCCGTTCACAGAAACTGATGCTTGTGCCTCATTTTTATGTTTACTGAGAGCTGATAAGACACAAGTCGGCGCCGAATAAAACCGGTTTGACCAGAGGAGTCAATGAATCAACTGGCTACGTTTACAGTCACTGCGGAACCAAGAGCACAAAGAAAATTCCAAATAAGCATTCTTTTGAGAAGTTAACTGATTTAAGAGTTGTTGTCTTTGTTACAGTAAAACAGGAAATGCAAAAAGAAGACATTCTGGGCCAATCTGAATCCAACTCAAGTCACTGAATTGGAAATTTCTGGAACTTCCTGTTTTCATGAGAACAAACCGACAAATGAGAGCAGGATTCCCTGAGGGTAAACAGGACTCTCTGTGTAATCTCTCTGGATTACTTCTTAAACCGCCAATCCCAASTAGTTCCTTTTGGCTGTTAGTTTTGGAAAGTGTTGGCATCGTGTTGCAAGATACAAAAAGGAATAAAACAATCCACCATGCTCTCACATTTATACTGTAGCTAGCACAAAAAGGAATGRCATTTGTGTTTGAAATGCATGTTCCTCACAAATGTTGCATAATTAAAAGGGAAATTAACAGGATTTCCAATGGTATCAGATTTTATTGCAAACAAGCATTGTTACAACAAAGAAATAATCTACCAAACACAAATTTCATTCCTTTTTCTGCTTATTTATTAAAGAGTAAATATAATTTAATGTTTAAAGCTGGTTAGAAAACTGATTAAACACAAATAAAGTAAGGATTTACAGGAAACAGTTCTCTCCTGTTTCACAATCTTTTTTATTTACTGCTGCGGTGCAGAGAAGTTTCTGAGGGGGAAGTGGTTAGCCTGATAAACACAGAACAATACCCAAGCTCTTTGGTGAGTGCATAAATGTTAGCCCCTGAGGTCAGGTGAGCTGTGTGCAATAGTTCTAGTCGAGTTTCAGGAAGTCCAGGTGTCACATTTAACTCCTGAACTGTGACTCAGAGCTACACCAAATAATCCATCTGCTCTTTGTTGACATGTTCCTTTGCTTTTTATTGTAAGTCTTTTTATGCCATATTTTATTCCAGTGTTTAAAACACTTTTTTAATACCTTAATACACTGGTTCCCAAACTTTTTATCTTCTCACAAAATATCCATGGCAAAAACTTGTGACCCCAAATATTACTGGTCTGAGTACACAAACTTCATTAATAACCCTAAAAACACAGGCTTTTTGACAATCTAAACAGCTTGTACACAAATATAAATACTTATTTTTACTTATTTTGTGTTTTTGTTTTAGTTATAGGGAAAATATTACATCAGCAATTATTTTATTACCCTTTAAATTGATTTCTGGATATTATCCAAGGTGCTTCATGACACATAATTGGGTCCCAAGTCCAACTTTGGGAACCAAAGTGCAGTGGTTCCCAAACTTTTCAGCTTTTGACCCACAAAATAACAGTAGCAGAGACCTGTGCTCCCAACTATTTTTGGATGATAAACATTTGTATCAGGTCAACWAAACATGGGCATAGTAACAATATTTTTATACTACATTTATCCATTTTAAATATACTAACCTCACTCCTTTGTAACAACTAAGACAAAAATGTAACTAATTCAGAAAATCTTTTCAGGACCCCACCTTGATGTTTTGGGACCCCACTTTGGGTCCCGACCCCAACTTTGGGWAACACTGCCTTAATATATTTGCAGGCTTAGAGACTGATTTTGATTTTCTTAAAAAAAATAAAAAAGAAATAAAAAGTCTGTCTTCAAATGACCACCATCAGCTTCAACATGCAGCATCAATCACAGTATTTTCATTGGACTGAACTGAATTAAAAATAAACAAATGATCCATTTTGAGAACAGATTCTGATACTTCATGTTATTTTTACTGAAAAGCCTGAGGATGATGGACTCTTTATCAACAGCTGTGTTTCTATCTGAAACTCCAGATAGGAGATGAACTCTAAAATAAAATAACACTGGAAACAAGTAAGCCTCCTTCTCCTAATATATATGACAAATTTGTTCAAATCTCTTAATTTTTTGAAATTTTAATTAATTTACCAATCTCACACTCCATACTTCGCTCTCTTAAGAATAAAACTTCAAGATCCTTGAGGCAGAACCCCAACCGAGATCCARTCCACCCTTTTCTTCACACTCAGCTGTGAGGCTCTCCAGTGAGAGCTGAAAATCACGACATGATGACGTCAACAAGACCACAGGATGGCTGGATTGATCTAAAACACAAGCTAATATTAACTTGGAGGCCATTTGGCATGTGCAGGAGCAATGATAATAAATTTATTCTGCATTTAAATACATGTGTGGCTGAGACGTAAAAATACTTGAAATACAGACATCAACATTGGTGGATTTAGGATTTTTCTGAAGAAGAGGCCACCAAGGACCCACAGCACCCTTTCACACAAATCTCTGGTTTTGGTGGTATGAAAGGTGCAGATGTTCAAGTTAGCCTTTTCACTTTAATTTCTTAGTTTTTTGGTTTTAGTGTTTTATACCCCTTTTCTGTTGTTTAATTTTGTGTTTTTAATGTTGTGAAGTGTCCTTGGGTGTTTTGAAAGGCACTAACAAATAAAAAGCATTAATATTGTTATTAGGTTATAGGTTATCCACTTGTGCAATTATTCCTTTTGTAGATTTTTTTTTCARTCAGTCACACATGTTCAAACTCTTGTAGTTTAATAAATTAAAAATGCTTGCAGTAAATTCTCCTTACCGATTTCACATGCATTTTTTACTGCACAGAAATAAATACTCTCAAACACTCAACATGTGAGAAAGAATAGCCATCGTTTGTCAGCTGAAAAAAACTTTTTATGCAGGATTGGTAAAATTTTCTTAAGAAGAGAGGAAAACTTGATTTAGCCTACTATTAAAATTTCAATATGATGAAGTGTTCTCATCTCAATTAAGAAAGAGCACAAATAAAGAAATGTCTCATATCCACATGTCAGGAAAAAAATGTAAATAAAATTTGCGATTCAAGAAACAAATGTCTTGCCCCATAATAAGCTTTAATTGTTCCTTTTTAACTCAAATTAAAACCAGGTTTGCTGTTTGTTTTTGTCCTGCAGCTCAGGGGTCTGCTCTGTTTGTTTCAGGAAACGGTGACATCACGAAACTACAGGTGTTCACGCTGACGTTGATGAGACGAAACTGCGTGCGCGTCCCCGCCCACCTGCCGCGGAAACCGCCTGAAAAAGCTCGCTCCCGAGTCCACTCCCTTAGTTCAGGTGCGGCAGGGGAGCAGGTGTGCGAGGCTTCACCGAGTGCCTTTTAAAGTCAGATTTTCATCTTTTTAATTAGTTTTACCTTTTGGAAAGGAAAGGACTTTATCCTAAAAACCATTAAGGACCTTACTTTTACAACAAACTTGACTTTTGGAGTTTTCTATTTTTTTAAGCAACAGGTAACACTCGCGACAGGTGGACGTCGTCTTTTTTTATTTTAAAGGGGAAGAAAAGAAGCTAAAATGGCCAACTCGGGTCTTCAGATCTTGGGCTTCGCTCTGGCTCTCCTGGGTGTAATTGCGCTGATAGTCGGGACCATTTTGCCCCAGTGGAAGATGTCCGCCTTCGTTGGGTCCAACATCATCACGGCGATCTCCATGTACGAGGGGCTGTGGATGTCCTGCGCCTTCCAGAGCACCGGGCAGATGCAGTGCAAAGTGTACGACTCCATCCTGCAGCTCAACAGTGAGTAAAATCGAGATTTCCACTTTAATYTCCTGGCTTTAGGTTGAGTTCAGCTCGTTTAGAGGAACCCATCACTGAGTGAGTTCCTGGAAAAACAAGGTGAGGTTTGAGTATTCCCCTCCCCCCTCCTCTRCGTCTGAATCCAAGCAATCGGGTTAAATTGATCGCTTAGTTTTTGTCTTTAAAACCTATTTAAACATTTGCTGTTTTATGAGAAAACAATTATTTTTAGAGTTTAATTAATTTGTTTATTTTTACATAGGGTTAAAGTAGGCCTACGCCAAAGATTTATGTAATGATCACGTGCACCTGTTCAGGTTATCTTTGCTTTTTTATTTTATTTTTAAACGCCATTTTTTTTTTTAGCTCGGTCTTAAGTCACAAGTCTTTAAAACACCCACTGAGTTTGTTTGAAGAGTTTGTTTAGAGTGCAACCGCAAGTTCAAAAGGTTAAAAGGCTAAAGGACATGGCCCAAGATGTTTTAAATTCTTAACATTTTCTTTGCTAAAAGCAGGAATTTAAAGTCCTACTTAATGATTGGCAATGATCACCTCAGCTCTGGCTGTTGTCCTGGGCAGCTTCCCCTCCTCCATGTGCGGAGAGCTCATATTTCCTTACAGGGCAGGTGTAGTTAAAGGTTAAACACCTGTAGGGGGCTGAAATACAGGTGCAATACACAAGCGTCACTAAAACTGTCTAAAAGCTCAGTCCTGTTGACAGGTTATGTTTTAATAATCTTATCCMAATAATCCAAAGAATCTAATCTTAACCTTGATTGTAAAAGGAGAAAAGCTGAACTCTTTTCAGTTTAATGAAACTGGCAATTTACAGGAAGTCAGAACAGGAAAGTTTCCACGGAAGCCATTGTAATGGGAGGGACGGGTACTGGTTCTGGTTGGTTAGACATTAGAATGATCCTGTTTGATATCGTACCTGTTGAAAAATAGAATATTTTAGCTGCTGTTTCTACTTATTTTACCAAATGTTAGGCATGTTTTTTTCCCCTCCCGGTTGAAGCCTTCACAAAACCTCCCTGATCTAACAAAACTGATGTTTGGCACCTTGGACGCCACATCTTTGACTTTATTTATTTTCTTTGCACCAGAGTTTGAAATTGAATTGTCAAAGTTGGCTGCTTGTGTCTGGGACCGGGAGTGTCTCCCTAACGAAACCTGAAACCTGGTCAGACCTGTTTTCAGACTTACATGAACGAACACCCCCCACCCCCTCCGACATTTTCTTCCGGTTGGAACCAGTTTGTGGCTGTTGTTGAGGGGGACAAGAGCACCTTTTTTTTTTTTTGTTTTTTTGCTTGGCCGGTTTGATTCTGTGTCATCATTTGCACACTTTCTTTTTTTGTTTTCACCTTGAAAGTCTGCTGGCTCTCGCCACACCCTTTATGTGCAACTGATATGTTACYGTGTGTAAAAACTGAAGGACTAACCCAGTCCTGTCCTCTTCAACAGGTGCCCTCCAGGCAACACGAGCCCTCATGATTGTGAGCATCATCGCCTCTGTGGCTGGTATGGGTGTAGCCACCATGGGAATGAAATGCACTACCTGTGGAGGAGATGACAAAGTGCGCAAGTCCCGCATTGCTTTGACTGGTGGAATCATCATTATTATTGGATGTAAGTAGCCTCTGTGTCTAGAAATCATTGTTGTAGACATATATAAAGAGAAGCTGAGATTAAAATATTGGCGGGTTTGATTTTCTTTCCACAGCTTTGTGTTCCCTCATCGCCTGCTCTTGGTATGCTAACGACATCATTCGAGCTTTCTACGACCCTTTCACTCCAGTCAATACAAGGTGAGTTTCTGAGACCACGTTGGYGTACGAGCTCCATTTCCAAAGAGAAAAAATGTAATCGTTTTGTCAAAATAACAAATCTTTTTTTTCCCTTCTGAAGATACGAGTTCGGCGCTGCCATATTCATCGCCTGGGCCGGAGCATTCCTGACCTTAGTGGGAGGTGCCATGCTGTCTGCATCCTGCCCGAAAAAAACCAAAGCTGCACCACCCAAGTACCCCATCTCAAACAGACCCCCGAGCAGCAACAAAGAGTTTGTTTGATCAGGACCGGAATAAGATGCCATTTGAAGGAACATTTTGACCATACTCATCAGTTAAACCCAGAAATTGAAATATTGAAGATGTATCCACAGATAACATAAAATATATATGTATATGGTGCATTTTTAGTTTCTTCTACTACCATCCTGTGATGTTACTGTAAAATCTAAACATTCAAGATTTTAAATGCTGGCTTTTTACTTCAGAGCTTACTGATCCTGCCATGTTTGGAAAAGTCTGTGCTTTATGCAATCCAGAGTACTCGACACACAGCTGTAAAAGCACTAGGTTAAATTATGATAAATCAATTTTTTTGTACAACGTTGTGTAGAAAGTGCTCTTCATATGTCAAATGCTTTAGTGCATTAGTTCTTGTACAGTTCTAACTAGTACTTGAGATGTCTTGATCAATGGAAATTAGTACCACTGCATTTGTTTTTACTTAACATGTAAGCATGCCTGGAACAGGTTGCCAATATTTTTGCAGAGTTGTGATTAGTGACAAATGTTTGACCTGTGTTTTTTTTTTTTTTTTCGTTGTCAGTCTATAAAGACCATTTCGTCTGAATGGCATTGGCTTGTACTCATATTTTTTTAATTTTGTTTAAACCTTTTTAAAAGTGATGTAAATAAAATTTGAAAACCTGCCTTTTGAACATGTTTGGTTTTAATTAAGAGTTATTTAACAGATGTCAAACGTCAGGTATTTGATTACTTGACTTCCTGATATGAGCACCAGCTACCTGTGGGCGTAAAAAAATGGGTAGAAAATAATGGTTGAACAAGATTCGTTGTGATCTAGAATTTCAAAATTATTTTTATTTGTATACGTAATAGTAAAAAGTACTCAGTCTGATCTGGGCATCAAACGTCAAGACATACCAATCAATGGTTTGACGTCAAAATTCTACATTGTCTCAAAACTGTTTCTTCAGAAAATGCTTCAGTCTTGAACTAAAATCAGTTTTAAATCTGTACACTAAAATTAAGTGTTGAATTAATTTCACCAAGTTATGTCAACTGGTTCCATTAAGCCGAGTTAAGTAAATAGGTGTATTTTCTTCTAAAGAAAACGTGGAACCAGTTGATGTAATTTGGTTAAATGAATTCAACACTTCATTTTTTTAGAATTCCATGTTAATCCCTCAAGCAGAAAAATCTTTAATAACCAAAGAATTTTAAAAGGAAACATACAGTTTCCACCATCTGTTCCACATGTTACTGAGCCTGTCAGAGTTGGCCAGTGGCATAGACAGTATAGGCAAATGCCAATGGTGCCATCTATCTAGGGGGCACCACGAATGGGAGACAAAATTAATATTTTACAAGTTTTAATGAGAGCAGAGGCGATTGATCTGAGACTGCAAGGGAAGCCTGGCTTCCCCTAAAATGTAAAAGAAAAGATCAAATATATACTGTTGTGTGTACATTTCATTGACTAAATATGCACTACAACRYRCTCAACTTTTGTTCAGAATCAGCTTCTTATCACTGGTAAAAATGCAGCTTTCCTCTCACTCATTCCTGCAGCTTCACRGTGCTTTAAACAGTGCWGACGCTGAGCTTCCACAGAGCTCATTAGCGATGCAAAGACTGCAGCGAAACGAGACGAGTCATTGGATAAATGCTGGGCTTTGTCCCACCCATCGGATGCTGAGCGTCTCTGGGGGTCTATGGGGAAGTAGGCTGCCCTCGGCCGACCCGGACGCTCAGCTTCTGCATGATGATTGGATGATCTGTCTGAGGCTGAATCCCTTTTTGATTGACAGAGAAATGAGCGAATCAGCGATCTTTTGGTGTAAACATTCCGTGGGAACATTTTTTTACTTTTGTTTCTGTTCTGAGTTGAACCGGAGACTTTATTAATCCTTTTAGCAGCGATTTATTTGTTAAAAACGACTAGCAACAAATCAAGCTTCTATTTCTGGAGGCTGTTTTGTAGCTGCTTATATTTAGAGACTCTTTCTGACTTCTATCGCAGTTTCTGTTCAGCGGGGTCTGCTGAGCCCCTTCACTGTCGTAAAGCACTCACAGGCAGACACACTTCACACTAGCCTCGCGCCAGTAGCAAGCTGCGCTGCAGACAGTTTGAATGTTGTGGACCGGATTTTGGTGAAGCCATTTGATAGTCTTCCTGAAGAAAAACTTAGTTACAAACAGCAGGCCTGAACAACTCCTCAGATTAATTTGGTGCAAAAGGTGGGGAAAAGTAGCAGGTCTTTTCAGCTGTCATGGGACGACAAAGTGAGCTTGCTGCTTTAAATAATCTGTAAAATGATTATAAAAGCACTGGATCAATTAATTCCTTTAAAAAATCACCAAAGCAAAATTGTTAAAGAAATATGAAATTGTTTAATTTGTATGAGTCACTGTTTGAGTTGAAATTTTTTTTGTTTTATCATTTGGTTTATTGTTTGAAATTAATATTTTAAATACTATAAACTAAACTTTTCTTGAAAAGGAACGGAGGATAGAATTTATAACCCACACATTTTATGATGTAGGCCGAAACTGAGCTTCCTCTTCTGAAAGACCAGCATCCACCACCGTATGAGAGCATAGTTGATTTAGTCTAGAATAATCACTGCTTACTCAAGTTTAGGAAGGTAGCTTGTTCTGTAGGTTTCTCAGCTGTTACGTGAGGGACGATGCAGTGGATGTTTCTTGATAAAAGTATTACGATGCAGTTCCAGTTGCAGCAGAACTTGAAATTGTGAAGTCGAACTGACATCAGTCCTGAGTTGCCGTGTTTCCAACCAGTTTTAATGAAAATTTTGAGCAAACTTTTAAAATGTTGCAAAAAGTAAAAAAAAGAAAAAAGGTTGACATTACACTTGGCTGTAGTAAACAGCATTAAGTTTTCAATGGTATTCTTATTGAGCTGCACCTGTAGTACAGGTTTATTTTCCTGTACAGGCAGGTGGACTAACAAGAGCCATGTCCCYAAGGCGTCTGTACATGGCTTCTTCTGAACCAAAACTTGCTTTGCTTTTATTGCCCTCTTGTGGTAAATCTAAAGTTACTTTTAATTTGTGAGCACCTGGTTTTTGCAACCTTTTTAGGACCTTGTCAGAAAAACAAAGTCCTAATACTGCTGAGTTTCAGTTTTAAAACAGTTTACTTTCCATGAATTCATTTTTCATCTATTTTACTATTTTTTTTAAATTGTAGAACATTACATCTTTCTGCTGATACAGTAATTTTCTTCTATACTGTAGCTAATTTGTGGGAAAGCTCTGTCTCACTACATTCATTYTGCCCACATCATAAGAGTAAGTTTTATCTTATCAGGGTGGGGAACTCGGTCAAGGTAAAGCCAAATGTTCAGAGCTATTATTTCCATGCTACTGAATCACTGATGGTCATAAATTTGTGCTTTCTCATAATTTTATCACCCAGACCATAAATTATACAACACTGGAAGGGTCATTTATAGGACAAAATTAAATACTAAAAAATAAAAATAAAACAGCTTGAAGACCTGCCTTGCTGAAGTGAAAGTAAACCTGTGACTAAACTGAAATCATCACACAGCAGCTCTTCTTTCCTTGTAGAGTGAGACAGTGAGTCTCTACGGCAGGAGAAACTCTTACATCATTATATGACTGTTCCAAGGAACAGTGACTCATATTTAAGCACATATGTTCTCTTGTTTGTTATTGATTGCCTCACAGAGCAGGTTTTCTCCGGCTCAGAAGCTGAACTGTAACAAAAAAGAAGACATTTTGAAAAATCACTGTCAACAAACCAAACTCCCACAAAGCTCAATCATCAGTAGCTGATAAAAGGCTCATGTTTAGACACAGAAACTAAAAGTAACTGTGTAAAGATGCATAAAATGTGTGACTAGAATGAAGGAAATATATATTAAAATTGCTTCCAAAAGCACATCAGAGTAACAACAAAGCTGTGTTTGTCACTCCCCTGACAGAAAGCCTGAAA